ATTCGAATCATCACCGTGGAGGTCATTTAAGAAGTTCAATGAAGCAGCAAAAAGTTGGGGATTTACTAACAGAGCTGAAGTTAAAAAGTTCTTTGACAAAAATGTTGTACATCAAACAAAAATAAACCCTTACGACTACTTTTTACCAATTTACTCCAACACTCCTGACGCATACCAATTTGACACTCTCATTCAAAGCAGAAAAGGAGGACATAAACCATTCCTCATCTTCATTAATGTTAACACTCGCAAAGCATATGCATATCCAATGAGGAATAAAGGAACTCGTGAAGTGTTAAGAGTTTTACAAAAGTTGTAGCAGAACATAGCCCAAGTACTTTAACATCAGCCAAGACGTGCATACCTCAGCAATGAAATCACAGATTTTCTCATTAAGCATAGCATAACTCACTACACTACTGAAGACCATAACCATAACATACTGGATCATAAACCGCTTCATAAGAACGCTCAGAGATTTAAACCAAGAGCGAGACTTACGAAGAAACAATGAAACATTTTCTCGAAGTATATAATTCCTCAAACACATTCTACAACAGGACATACACCAAATTCAATGACACAACAACAAGAAGAAAAGTATATACAAAAGAAACGAAGCCAAACACAAAATATCAGAAATTCAACACAATTTACCCTCATTCTGGTACAAAAGTTCGTGTAGTTCTTGACGACAAACCGTTGACAAAGAACGTTTAAGGTTAGTCGAAATTATTATATCGTAGACTCTACGCAAGGTAATGGATATCTTATAAAAGCTGCCGACGACTCCATAGCATTTTATCCTCGTCATAAATTAGTCGAAAGTAGTAATGGCAAACTTGCTGAAACCACTGACGAAGCAAAGCGAGGAGTGGTTATTGAAATACTTGGCTATAACATAAACGATGACACTATAAAGTAAGATATGAAGGAGGCGTTGAAGATGTTATACATCTAAGAACTTGAGAGAGTCGAAGCCAACACATCTGGGACCATTAGAGCGGGAGTACTGAAAGACAAAAATATGCCAGAAAGAATAAGAAAATTCATGAAATTTGCATTTTTCACCAAAATAATTTTTAGGTGAAGAGGTGAGATCTCACTCTTTTTCACCTGTTTTTTCACCCTCGTGAATTTCATGAATTTCCTTAAGATAGAAAAAATAAAGTTAGTTTTATTTTTATTTATTTTTTTATTTTGTATAAAAGATATGATTTCAACAATCGGCACAACTACAGCACCAAACTCGTTAGTCATGAATCCTAAGTCAATGTTGGTAGAGATGAAAAGCTTTATTCCTTCTTCATATACTTTCGAAACAGAAATCCAGAAGATAAAGCAAGAACTTTTAACAAGTAATTTAGACTGTAGTGCGAAAGATGAAACAAATGAAGAATATCTTTATGACATGCAGGACATTATTGACCATTTACCCAAATTGCCTGAAATCCAACAACAAAAGCTCACTATTCATGAATTCGATGAAATAGAAGTCAAAGCAACTGACTCAGTAGAAATTAAGAAATTCATACGTAAAGTAAATTATGAATTCCTTGGTTTTCATTGCAACCATAAAGTTATGGACAAAGATTGCGATATGGTTTATAAGAACATCTCTGACATATATAAATCTGGGGAGTTTAAGACATACGATAACTTTGTTACATTAGTTGCAAAATGTGTATGGCAGATAAGAGATGAAGATAGAAGAGGCAACGTATGGAACGAACAAATAAGACCCGCTATGTTTGAGTTAAAGAGAGCAATTGACGCATTAGTTGTTCTAGCTGGTTTTATTTCGGTGTATAACGCAAAAATGAATCCGCAATGTTCTAAATGTAAAGCAGTAATGAGGAAATATAACTACTCAGTCAAAGAGATAGAAAGAATGCGAAACGACTATGCAGACTTAAAAAAGAAGCAGAAAAGCCAGCAGAAGATAAAATGGATATGTTGACATTTCTTAATAAAAACTATCCAACAGCAGAAGATTTCCTTCTGTCTGACGTCAAGAAGAAATATAAAGAGACTTTCGGCATGATTAAAACATTCAATGTACTAAAAGAAGAAATAGAAGCTACGAAATTGTTTAGGATTTCAAATATACATCGTACAATTCATGTAAAACGCTTGTGAAAAAACAGGTGAAAAAACATGTGAAATCTCACCTCTTCACCTAAAAATTATTTTTGCTGAAAAATGACCAAATTTCATGAATTTTCATAAAAGATAAAAATAAAGTTAGTTTTATTTTTATTTATTTTTTTATCTTGTATGTAAAGACAGTAATGTCAAACATTGAGTTTGAAACAGTTAGAAAGATTGACAATGACACCAAAGTGGTTAGAATTGGTGATTTAAACGTAAGATACTGTAAGAAATACAACAAATATTCTTTGTCAGACATTATAACACCATCTGGAAAGATAACAAAGGACTGGGTTAGAATTGCTTCTACTCAGAAAATTTTGGCAAGAAATCCCGAGCTTATGATATCAGTAAGATTCTATGGAACTATAGCATATCTCATTGACAAAAGTCTTATACCAATAATTCTTCTATGGATTGACCCGGTTGTTGGATATAACTTCATAACTTATGGCTCATTCGATATGGAACGTTGCAGTGAAGGCTTACTTTACATCGTTCAGAAACCGAAGGACTTCAATACAAAGAGATATAAGATAGGAAGAAACATATAATATAACTCAAAGATATGACTCTACAGTCAATAGAGTCAAGGTTGTGTTCGTTAATGATATGAGAGCTGCTGAAACAGAACTACTTGAAAAGTTTGAGAAAATGTATGGTGCTCCCATAAAAGGTAAAGAAACGTTTGAAGTAGATGAGATAGATAAAGCTATAAAATTATTTGACGAAGTTGCTGAAAAATACATGTAAAGCGTTTATTTTTGGTCTTTTGTGAAAGTCAGAAAATAACGCTAATTTTTTCTAACAAAAATTTTTATTTTGTATGTAAAGACAGTAATGTCAACATCAGAGAACACAACAACTGCTATCGTTCATGAAGTCATAAATGAAGAATATGAATACATACAGTATAACAAACAGTTACGTCTCATTCGTTCAGTCAAAGACGATATGTACCAAATGCAAAGTATAATGAATGCTCTTTGTTCTACAAAGCAAGCATATCATTGGTTTGAAAACCAACAGACAAAAGAACTTTTAGAAGAATTTCCTCATATGATTGCTTCCCTCGGAAAACCGAGAGAAGAGATTCCATTCGAAAATCGCAAGAATTTGGCTCCTGGTTTGAAAGGTTATTATGTTCATAGACTTTTAGTAAACGCTGTAGCAATGTGGGCTTCACCTCGTTATGCTTGTTATATTTTCATGATGTTAGATGAACTATATAAAGCAGAACGTGGAGAGATGGAAAAGAAACTTCATGCAAAAGATGAAGTCATTGAATCCAAAGACAAAAGCATACAGAAAAGAATACCGCGTTCAGTACCAAAAGGAAAGGAAAAGAGTTATAAGTATATGATATATACTGAAAAGTTGGAGAAAGAAGAAGATAAAGATATGGTTATGTTACATTTAGTCAGAAGAAACAACAAGAGCTTTTATAACTTAGCTAAGATATATAAATCTGACAGAAACTGGTTCTATCGTGAAAACTTACCGATTTCAATGACTCCGAATGAGCAAATAAAGGAAATTGTCAAAAATACTCTTCCTCAAACACACTATGACATCAAAGGTTGCACAATACTTACATTCAAAGAAGACTTAACATTACTGAAGGAAAAAATAACAGAATATTTCGATAACTTCAAAGAGGAAGAATGAAAAAAAATCTCGTCTGGTGCCACGTTAGGACCATAGTGGAGAAAACCACGATAAAAAACAAAACCCTTCGTCATTATTTTGTTTTTACCATTTAATTGTTTCCATAAACGCTCCATGTCGATCATAATCGACGAAGAGAGAATCGTCTGATCGTCAAGTTTATTAGTTAACGGGAGGGTTAGATATATTCCATCACAACTGAAAACATTCGTGAAAACATTAACGTAAACATTTGTTTCCAGGACTGTTATCAAAATGTCATGTTGTCAGTAATTTTAAAAGAAGTTAATTAACCTGGTGACACATGGTGACGTGGTGTCACCATCAGTTATTCAAAAATAAATTTTCTTATAAAGCTTCAGGGTCAATTTCTTCAACCATTTCACTTCCTTCGTCAATGTCAATAGAAGCTTCTTCAACCTTTGGTAGGAGCTTATGTATAACATCTTTGTTCGTTATTGTCTTCAGAGATGAAGGATAATATTTCACAGATGTTTCACCCTTCTTATATTCTTTCTGTTCGGAAAGATTCATAGCAATACTGAAGAAGTCAATGTTGGAGTTCTTTATAACAGTATAGTGTGTATCTTTGACATTCACGAAGAAACCCTTTTGTTTCAAAACTACTGCTAACTCTTGTGAAGTATAACTTTTGCGGTCAATGACGATAGCTAATGGTCTGACATACTGACAAACTTAGATTCTTTCAAAACTTCTTGTTAAAGATAACATTAACATTTGAAGCATTATTGAACTCATTCTTGATGGCAGTAGCGAGAGCATTGTATGAAAAGAACTTGCAATCTTGCATGTGTTTCATTAAAATAAAAATATTAAATTATTTTGAAAAATAACTTAAAAAAATCTAATCTAATTTTTTCAAAAAATATTTTTTTATTTCCTACTAAAGATGTATCGGAAGTTGTCTAAGTTAGAACACTCGGAAATAAAACAACTTCTTACAGAAGCTAACATAGAAGTAGCAAAACATTACGCAACAAACAAAAAAGCACTCGCTGACTTCATTAGACTATAATGGTGCAATAAGTTATGATAGAATTCATGAGTTCATAAAGCCGCAACGCGGCGAGGACGAAGTCCATGCAAGAGCATTTCCTTTAAATGACGTTGCTATTGACTTATATCATAGACGTTCAGTACCTCATGAAGTAAGAAGAGAAATGTTTGACATAACAAATGCAAACGTTGGTGAAACAAGAAGAAGAGACGACACACTGAAACAACAGAGAAGAGATATGTTTAAGAGCGCTATAGAACAAGTTCGCAAAGCTAACGATGTCCTTCGTTCCATTGACGACAAACCAAAAGAAGGTGAGAGATGGTTAAAGAAAGATGAAGAGAATAGGAAGAGGAATGTTAAGACAGGCAATAGACTCATTGACTTTAACATCGAAGCTTTAGATGAACCAAACAGAGACTACTTACACAAACATTTCGGTAAGGTTTTCATGAGACTCTTAGAGAAGATTAAAATAAACTCCCAACAAAGATGGATGGTATGTTATAAACTTGGTGGAAAGTATGAATGTTCTACGTTAAACCTCAATAATATTGGAACATTACTACATCAGCTCTTGAAGGAGAACTTTATATCAGAGATAGAAGCAAATGCTGCAGGTATTGTTGAAATGCACTATGACTTCTTCTTGACAAACATAAAGAATCTTACTGAAATAAAGATGTATGATTTAACAGAATATGAAGGCTTAACGATGTCAGATGTAAAGAAAGGCAAACCAAAAAAGAGACCATATAGAGATGAAAGCACACTGACAAATGACCAGAAAGCCATTTTGGAAGCTCTTAAGCAAACAGGAAACCCAGCACTTATAGAAAGCTTTTGGAAAGATAATGGTGAAAAGAAGTTTTATAAGAAGAGAAGCGGTCAGTTCTGGAAGTATCTTTGCACATTACCTATAAATCTTGAACGCTACCAAATCTTCAATGAACTGAAAAAAGAACTGCAACACTTATGACAGAAGATAACTGCTTCGTTTATGCTTGCATTCAGGCTGGAGTAAATGAAGAAACTATTGACCACATGAGAGAAGTCATTCGTGTTAGAGACTTTCCTCAAAGTAAAGTACAAGAAATTTCTGACGCAACAGGTATAGCATTTAATGTTACCATTGGTTACTTCAATGACTCAAGACATAATGAAATAAAGAGATACATACCAAAAGAATGTGAAACTGTTCGAACTATTGACTTACTTCTTGTTGAAGACCACTACATGCTAAATGAAAGATTACCAATGACAACATATTTCATTCGAAACTATAAAGAAATTCTCAAAGCTTGTGGTGGAATGAACATTGAGAAACAGATGAAGATTTATACAATGAGAGATGGTAAATACATTGTTCGTAATGATAGAACTACACCACTATGGGATGTTATGAAAACATTGTGGGAGTGCAAATATTTCGAACCTATTTCTTATGGAGAACTTTTCACATATACGACTGACTTATATAAACAGAACCTTGCACCATTTAAAGATTTGACATATGCTCCAAAGTATTGTGTACAACTGAAGAAGAAAGCCGAGTCAAAAGAAGTAAATAAAAATAAGTGCAAGTTCATTCCTGAGCACGTTTTCTTTGCTGACTTTGAATGTAGCACTGATGGGTTCATAAAGCTTTAACATTGTTATGACAGTGAAGATGGTTCAGTGAGTGAAAGCATTTGGGGTCAGAACTGTGCAACAGAATTTTTGGAACGACTTCCTGACAAGAGTTTAATATATTTCCATAACCTCAGTTATGATATAAACTTCATCTTAAGACACATGACAGAAGTGAAAGGAACTCCCATCATTAAAGGTTCACGAACAATGCAGATAACGGGAATATATAAAGGTAAAGCAATCATTATTAAAGATTCATACACTGTTATAAATAAGAAGCTTAAACTATTTCCTGAAATGTTTCATTTGCAGTGTGGTGAAAAGGAAGTATTTCCGTATCAATATTATTCAAGCTCTTTATTAGCAAATGACAACAGAACTGGTGTCATTTCTGAAGCGTGTAAGTTTATCCAGGATGCGGATACGTTCATGAAAAACATAGATTCCATCAAAGGTTGCAGAATAGATGAAAACCACTTCGACTTAGAAAAGTATAGCACATTTTATTGCAAACAAGATGTAAGAATTTTAAGAGAAGGTTTTGTTAAGTTCCGCAATGATATATTAAAAGAATTTGATTTAAACGTTTATGACTACGTTAGTATTTGTTCTATTGCTAACAAATTGTTTGAGAACAGAGTGTACTTCCCGAATGGAAATTTATATGACCTCTCAAATAAACCAAGAGAATTTATTTCACGCTGTATTCAAGGTGGAAGATGTATGCTGTCAGATAACATGAAACAAAAGAGCGAAAAGAAACTCATTGCTGATTTCGACGCTGTTTCATTATATCCATCAGCTATAGCAAGACTTTATACTTTAGAAGGTATTCCAAAGGTTATGAAGAAAGAAATGTTAAGCACAGAGTATCTCATGAGACATTTATTCGATGACGACCAAAAGGAACCCATTGGTGAAAAGTTTATGTCTGGCTTCTTTGTTCTCATTAAGATAACAGAGATTGGAATACATAGACACTTTCCTTTAATAGTTTGTGACCCTGAACTAAATCCAGAACTTAACGTTCCCAGAAGTTCAAACACTTGCTGTTTAATGTATGTTGACCATATAACATTACAAGACCTCATAAATATCAAGGTGTCAAATGTGAAGTGTTGCAAGGATACTATTACGATGGAAACAGAGATATTAGAATAAGAGATGAAGTAAAGAAGTTGTTTGAGTTAAGGTTAAAGTATAAGAAAGAAGGAAATCCTTTGCAAGAAAATATAAAGCTCATTCTGAACAGTATTTATGGCAAAACTATTCTATCTCCTATTGAGTCAAAAATAACCATAGTAAATGACAAAGATGCTATAAGATATGCCATCAGAAACTACAACCATATAGTGAAGTTCGAAGGTTTGGATGGTTCAGATAAAACTATTTTCAAGCTAACGAAAAGCATTTGCAGACACTTTAACTTCTGTCCACTTGGTGTTAACTTCTGTCTATGTCGAAGAGAATAATGTGTGAAGTATTCTTACTGCTGAAGATATGGGACTTCAAATATTTTACCAGGACTGCGATAGCATGCATATTTTCAATGAAGACATACCAAAGCTTGCAGCAGAGTTTAAGAAGAGATACGGTCGCGAACTTATAGGAAAGAACCTTGGTCAATTTCATTCTGACTTCGCAGAAATAACACCTGGAAAACAAAGTTTAGCATACAAGTCAATATTTTGTGGAAAGAAGACCTACATAGACTTACTCACTAACAATTTAAATGAAGTTGCATTCCATGCACGTTGCAAAGGTGTCAAACAAGACGTCCTTGCTTTAACAGCAAATGAAATGTTTCCTGAAGCTATACAATGCTATTACAATGAAGATAAGAACATTCACATACCTGTTGGAACATATGACAAAGACTCTGAGTTCAATTTAATGAAACTTTACAAAGCACTTCATGATGGTCAAGAGATTGCATTCGACTTATGTAAGTCTTCTAGTCCTTGCTTTGCTGAAAAGTTTAACTTCTCAATAACGACTAAAACAAGCTTTATTCGTAAGTTGAAGTTCTGAGGTCATTTATTTTTGTCAGCAATGAGGTCATTCGTGATAAAAATAAGCCGCTAGCGGCAAGGGCGAAGCCCATGAGGTCATATATTTTTGTCATTTATGTATAACCATTGTCTCTCTTAAACTTTGCAATAGACAGCTTTGTTCTTCTTCCTTCTACATCTGTAATGTTTATATAATCTTTGTTATACTGTCTTAAGACATTCATTCGTCTGTATTGAGTTCCCATGAAATAGTAAAAGGCATCTTCACTTGGGACATAGTAGTAGTTCTCTAACGTGTGATATGAGTATTGTATAATTTCAACAGCGTCTTCAGGAAGAGAGTCAACAATGTCAAACCAATAGCCATTTGAACCAGAAATATTTCTCATGTTTTCTCTTCTTGTCGTCCATCTTAAGTTCGAGATATGAAAGTCTCCTCTGTCTCTGTTTATATGGTCTACTTCACGAAGTCCTTCAGGGTTCGGAATGAAAGTTTCTGCAACTATTCTATGTTTCATCAGCTTGTGTTTGTTTAAATTTACACAAATATAACCATCTCCTTGGTCAAACTCACTAACAACTCTTTTATTGCTTATACGTCTAATTGGATAAGGGTACTCTGAAAAGATTTCATAGTCATTGTCATGTTCGAGTGTTTGCCAATGTCCTTCACCTTCCATGCCTTTCACTCAAATAAAATTTTCAGAAAAAAATAAAACTAGCGTAGATTTTACAATACTGCGATGGTAGAGTTTAAGAGTTGTGCTTCAATGTAGAGACAGTCCTTATGGTCTGGAGGTAAGAACACTGGGCAGTTATGGTCATGAGTGGAGAACATGTCTATCCAAAACTCACGATTGAAGCCAGTTAATTTATAGTATTTAGGGTTAGGAAGTGGTGAAGTTCTTGTATGACCAATGAACTCATTTTCAACTCCCTTACTTAAGTTTGAATATAATATAGCTTGCTTTCTATCCCAAATGCCAGGTGTTACAATCTTTGAAAATTCATTTTTCCTCGGAAGCATTGCATCATAATTGAAAACATTCTTGAAATCATCACTTGGTTCAGAGATTTGAAATCTTATACGTAATGGATTTTCTTTCTTTTAGCTACTTCATTGAATGGTGAATATATAACAAACTGACAGTCATGAGTTCCATCTTCATTTTCATTAAATTCATAATGAAAGTCTATAAGTTGTGGCTGACTACCTTCTTCTTTCAGTTGTGCAAGAAACTCACGTAAAGGCTGTAAAGTTTGTACTTCAATGTTGAACTTTTTCTCGAACATCTCATTAAATGAAATCATACATTGCAACAATGTTGTATCGTCTTTAAAGTATTTGTATATGTGAATGTTTTGGGCGCTTAAAGACTGTTCGTCATTTTCTATCTCGACTTGAAGTATAAAGTCAACCTTTCTGAAAGCACGTGTTATATACATAGATGTTATGCCAATGTACTTCTCTTCATTTATGTTCACAATCCAGTCTGTTGGAAACTTAAACGTTACTCTGTTCCCCTTTATTTTGACGTCAGGGTTTTCACTACTGAACGCAACAGATAAAGGTATTTGTCTATACATTTAATTCGGATAAAAATAAACCATTTACTCTTTCTTTGCTTCAGCTTTTCTTAGCTTCTTCTCTAGCTTTCTTCGCCAGCAAACGTGGGTTCTTTGTCTTCCAGCAGCTAATGCAGCAAGTTGTTTTTCACTAAGTTTTCTCTTTGGTCTCTCTGGCTTTTGTTCTTGTTTTTGTTCCTTCAGTTCGGATAAAATTTGCTCACGAATTTCTTTCTTCAATGCTTCAACATCTATGACCCCTTGGGTCTTGTCCGTAGGGCTTGTCTGAGTCATTTGACTGCAGATAAAAAACAAAATTAAAACTTTAACCGATGTAAAATGAGCTTGTCAAAATCAGAGCGAGAGTCTATTATATTAAATGACGCAAGAGGAATACAACATCCTTTCTATTACGTAAGTCAGAGTAAAGATGGTAAAATATACGTAAGAAAAAGAAAGGTTCCATTAGCGAATGCAGAAAGCGACAACATTAAGGTGCATGGCACCGAGGGCGAAGCCCATATAAAACCTTCTGTTCAAACTGAAAAGTCAATAGAACAGAAGAAAAGAAGCCAGATGTACTTTCAATAACGAACCAAGAGCTTATTGCAAAGTTCGTGAATTTCATTGAAAAACAAACCGAGTCAAAGAATCCTGACCCGCCAGTGAAAGAAGTTGAGACAAAAGAGAATGTACAGTTCATTGAAAATGTCAAGAAACAACTTCCACCACGAATGCCAAGAAGAAGAGTGAGAATAATGAAGTAAATAGATATTTTTATCTGAAGTAAATACATGCAGAACGAACAGCTAAACGAATTTACTCCAGCAGAGCATATTCATCAGATTCGCTCATATTTCGATATCATAGACAATGCAGTTCAAATTGGTGACACTAATAGAAAATATTCTGACGCAAAGATTCCATCACAACCTGGAACTGCTAAAGATAACACATGGGTAACATTCAATCTCTCACCTCCTGGTGAAAATATGTTGGACCTTTACAATACATTCATTACGTATAAAATGGAAGGTCAATTTATTGTAGATAAAGAAATTGGTTCAGGTTCCAATAAAACAAACCCACCAGGATTTTGGATTGGTTTCGATGACGCTTTCTATGCAGTTGCTGGATATCAAATCCTTGCAAATGGTCGTATCGTATATTCTCAAGACAACGCAAGAGAAGAAGCATATATAACTTCAAACTCACAAACTACCGAACAAATAAAGAGAAGTAGATGTTTTCTCAAAGACTCGACATGAAGATGTATGGAGTCATTCGGGAACATGCAGAACAGGACAAATTGTTAGTGGTCCAATTACAGCAGGAAAATCATTTGATTTTAAGCTTCGTTTAAGAATTCCTGTTAGAAGATTCCTTCCATTAGAAGCTATTCGATTTATTCCAGCTTTTGCAGGAAACATTCAGCTTAAAGTAAAGTTCAGTAGCGACGCCTTACAATGCACATCTATATCTGTAAATGATATCATTGCTTTCAATCCAACTCTTAAAGTTGCATTTGCTTCAGATTCAAATCCACCGACAAATAAATTTGTTCCATGGAATGAACCATTCACTATGATAACGAAGGCAGTAGAAGCTAGTGGAACAGTTACTATTACAACTGTAACCCAGCAACTATTTCGAACAAAGATGGATTTTAATGAATGTTTCATTCATCCAAAGTCATTCTCTTTAGACCCTAACATTTATACAGAACTTGTAGAACATTATACAAACGAGGCTTTATGTTTTCCTGTTAAAGTTATGGATTGGATTCCTATGGACGGTTCATTCTCAAAGAATACAGATAGTTCAAGTGCAACATTTACAGCAGCTTATACGCCTATTAATGTTAAAAGTATTTGGGCACTATTTAGAAAGAAAGACAACTATTATGTTAATTTTGAGAACCCTAAGTTTAAATATCTTCAGCTTTCCATGGGAGCTTATGGAAATATGCCTGCAGAACCTGAAAAATCATATGGACCTGTATTTTATGAAATGGTTGCGAACGCTTGCAATACAAACAATGATATGATAGGATTTAATGAAGATGTTATGAGGTCATTGGTGGATGATGGTAGTGTGGAACATAAATGGGATAGCTATGACAACACACATTTCTTATGTGGTTTTCCAACAGAAGTGGACTTTTGCTTCCAGCAAGGTCAAACATCTACTGCTCCAATAACATACAAATTGTCTGTTAAAGGACCTATTGAACTAGCAACTGAAAATGTACCAAAGCCACTTATTGGATTTATGAGGGATTGTTGCTTTGCCATTCAGGTGCGTGCTAATGGCATCCCCATAATAAGATTAGATGACTATAACTTAGCTACGGACGACAGTGAGGAATAAAGGATGAACGTTTATTTTTAAAGCTTATAAATGAGTTCTTCATCAAGCTCTCGTGAACCTTCACCATCTATGAAACAAACTTTACCAAACGATTATGGAGCACCTATTGAATATTTCTTACGAGCTGCACAATGGCAAAGAGCAGTCTCACCAAGGTTAGGTGTTCCACCAGCTCCTGTCAAAAATAGCATTTGGTCAAGTCCTTATATAAATATGGTCTCCCACTAGGTTTGCTAGCTACAGCAGGAGCAGTTATGATGTTGAAAAGAAATAAAGCAAATGTTGTAAATAATACTGAAGTAGCTGAAGTTAAACAAACTCCAACACCTTCGCCAAAACCAACGTCAACCTTCACAAGCAAAACCTTCAATGACTCCTGAACCTATGGAAGTACAAACTCCTGTTCAAAAGTCAACTCCTAAACCGACTCCAACATTTAAACCAGAACCTACTCCTCAAATAAATCGTAAAACTCCTGCGTTTCCTTACTGAAAAAATAACGTTATTTTTATTTAATATTAAAATTTTTATTTGATTGAAATGACAAATAAAGTCACTGAAGCAATGAAACAAAAGTTTTTGGTAGAATATATTAAATCAGGAACTATTCCAGAAGGTTTTTACATTCATACTATGAAGGATGGTAGAGTTCAGTTTAGAAAGATAAAGCAACCATTAGATAGAGAAGGTATATTAAGGAAGATTAAACTTCATGAGGACAACATTGCTGAACTTAAGAAGAAGTTAGAAGAGTTGGAGAAAGGAAGAGAGTTATAAAGCAATGAATTCAACAGGGTGAAAAAAGGGTGAAAAAAGAGGTGAGATTCACCACTTCACCTAAATTTATTTTTGTGCTATGTTTTCATACGTGTGAGGGTGGTGATATCATTAATTTTTAAGTTTATTTTTTATTTTATTTTTATATAAATGACGAAAACTATTGAGATAACAAACTACAACGGTCATGAGTTCAAGAATTTGTTCTTCGTTCCTCGTGAAAATACATTCTATCAGATACGAGGGAGAAAGGGTAAAGTTAGTTTGAGCGTTTATGAAGGAATGAAGAATGGAAAGTTTATACAAGCATACGATACAAACGGTAAACGTGTTTCATTAGCTTTGTCAAAACTTACTAACATTTATTTTGACAGTGACTTTGACTCTGACGATTGGAGCGACAGCAGCGATACTGAAGAATATGAAGTATTGTGTGAAGCACAGCAATGGGAGGAGTAGCATACTTTTGTAAGTGAGAACGTTTATTTTTACAGTAGTGAAGTCGTTTGTGAAAACGTTAGTGAGGTGAAGTGGTTGGCGGCCTTGTAAATATTTAAGGTTAAGTTGGTGTTGTCGTTTGTGTTGTAAAATATACGTTAACGGTTTTGTAAAGTGTCAAATTCACATATAATGGGTAAGGAGGCTCGCAGTGCCTCCGTACACATTATATGTATACTAACTGTTTTACATTTATGTTTAGTTTTATTTCACCTAATTTTCAAAGATCATAATTGAATTAGATGGCCAAGCTATTCAAAACACGACCAAGCTTATCAAAATAAGACCAATATATTCAAAATTCTTTATTCTTTCAAATCATTTCATTTTAATGCAGATCCAAGATCACGAACTCACATATATCGAGTTGCTTAAGTATGGAGTGCAACAAGAAATCCAAGCAGGTTGTAGTTATTCATATAAAACTAGGAAAGAAAGAAATCAAATCCAATTTAATTGTAAGTGGCCGAATTGTCCATGTCGCTTCCTTGTTGATACACTTCCCGATGACAAGTACCACATACAAAAATGTATTAACACCCACAATCATTCTGCCCCTTTTCCAAACAAATCACAACAAATTACATCATATTTTTATAGATCTTATTTAACAAGATATTTTGAATCAAATCAAGACCGTGTTTACGCACAATTAAGGTGTTTCAAAGATCTTAATATCCCATTTGATAGTGGGATCATTCCGGAAATGTTTCAACAATCTACAGATGCTTTAAAAAAGTTTTCTAAACGCCTTCATGCAATCAATACCCGTTTCTCAGCGGATGATGTTACATCTCTTGCAATTTTTGTCGACATGGTTAAGAGTCATTCTCCGGATGATCTCATCGAGTTTATTCACGAGCCAGATCGTATGATTTTCTATTACGCCCCATTCGAAGCAAATGCTTTTTCACATCAAATACAAACTTATCACATTGATTCCACTTATAAGCTCTTGCGCTCTCGCATACCATTTTATGCCGTCACTGGCAAATTCGCGGAATCAATTGTTTTTCCCGTTTTTGTATTTTTTCGTTTGGCCCGACACAAGTGAAAATATACAAGTTTGTCTCACAGCATATTTTGGCTCCATCAATCGCGAACCATCTTATTTTTCAATGGACTGCGCACCTCAAATCACAAATGCTGTTGAAACAGCCATCCCCTTATGCCAGATCATTTGGTGTGGCGTTCATGTGTTGCGCGCTGTCATGAGAATGGCTGAAAAGTTTCAAGATCGTTCCAACTTCGAAACTTTCTATAACTTAATGAAGTTATTGGTCTTTGGTTCTGAAGAGGAAGAAATTGATCCTGATGAAGTTTACAACAATTTAGAAGAAATTTTAAATGAGGAACCTGCTGCCCGTGAATACTTTGACCAACAGTGGCGCCATCATCTTGACAGGTGGATGCTTCGCTATAGAAATGAAGGAGATGGAACAAACAACATCTCGGAATCACATTTCAAGGTTTTGAAGCACCAGTACTTCCCAGAAAGGCGAAATCTTCGACTCGATGAACTTGTCATCGAGTTATATTCCAGTGTTGTTCCTTCATTCCTGATTAAGTTGCAAATTAAAGGTCTGGATTCAGAGAGAAGTGTTAAAGTTATCAAAAAAGTCACAAGAGATTTCGAAGAAATGACACAATTTAAAAAAAGTCGAATGCATCAGTATGCTTGAAGCTGTTCAGAAAGGTCTGAAAAATGATACACTTGATCCCAACATTGTTTACTCAACATTAAAAATATTATTGCAAAGAAAACATTTGATTTAATAAACATTTAATTTATTATAATTAATTTTTATTACAGTATAGTAAAAAATGCTATAAATAAATTATTATATTTTATTAAAATGTGACTTTTAATAGTAAGTGAATAAAATAAATCAAGAATTGGGAAAGAAATAAGGTTAATTAAAAATAATGAAAATTACAAGTTTAAGGTTAATGAAAAGTGACAATGGGCGAGTTTGTCCCCCACTCTTTCAAAATTTTTGAATTTGCAATCATCATATTTCTTTTACTTTTTGGTATTTTTATGCATTGAATCATATTTGTAATTATAATGTTGTTTCTAATATTCAATTTAGTATATTTTCGAAATTTGAGAAACACTGATTTTTATAGAAAAATCGGTTTTGTAAAATTATTTTTGACGATGATGATATTCCTGTTAATGGGGTTGTTTATAGCAATATATTTCAAGAAATATTCAATGTCCCTTAATTTTGAATTGCGACGATAAAAATGAATTCGAAATACAAATTGTGAGAAACATTCAAATGATAATTTCCTCACCAGAAACTGTCAAGCCAACTGCTTTCTCAGTGTATTCAGCTGAATGGCGTAAACAGCACGATGAGTCCATTGAGGGTCTCACCTTCCTTGAAATTGCAAGAAAAATTGCCGCTGATTGGTCAATGCTTCTTCCATCTGAGAAAGCAATATATTGGGAGAAAGCAGGAGTAACAAAGGTTATTTCCCATAGTTCGAAAAAGAAAAAGGCACTTGCATCGTCTGAATTTAATTTGAATTTCCATAATTACCTGAAGAAGACAGCCGTTATCGCAAATTCCGAATATTTTGCTTTAGATCAATCAATAATCAATAATTCTAATCAGGAACCAAAGAGAAAATATCAGAAGAAAGAATCAAATAAAAGCTTCGAAGGAAGAACTCACAAACGAAAATATCGCAGGCACCATAGAGATGACTATGATTAGAGTCCATTTAGAAATAGCATTTATTATTATCAATGATAATTAGAAATACCAAAAATCTATATTATTTATTTCATTAGACTATCAAATCGAAATTAATTTAGCTATGTATATATTGATTTTGTTATAGAACTAAATGTTTTACATTGCGTAATTCATCATTTAAATCTGCTTTTTATTTCAAACTTTAAAAAGTACAATATGTCAGTCAATAATCACTTTAAATTATGGCAGTCCCAACGGGAACCGCGGTAATTTACCGAGGTTTCCGCACACCGGTTCCTTTTTTTAGGAATTTTTTAGATTAAAAAATATGCTTTGTAAATCATTTTTTGTAAATCGGCAAAAATTTGGAAATATTCTGACGACAATAAATCTGGGAATAGTATTTTAAATACGAGAACAACCTATTTAAAAGTGTTTCGCTCGATTTTGTATAATTTCAAATTTTCACATATAGCTTTCCGTGAATTACCGTGATTTTACCGCCACATCAATAGTTTACGACACTTTTTCCGTAAATTGAGTAGTTTACTGCACTTTTTCTGTAAAATTGAGTTACGGGAATCCGTAAGATTACCGTACCTCACTTCTAGTTGAAAATAGCATTAGTATATAATAAATAGATATATTATTCATATTTTTGATTTTGAATTACGGAAAAAGTGAGTTCAGAACTTCCAATTATTATTTGATTAATTATGTTAAAAATACTATAAGGAATTAAAATACATAATGTTGAAATTTGAATTACGGAAAAAGTGAGGGTGAAAGTGAAGTGAAAAGGTAAGATATTTTTTGTTGAAATAATCATAGTTGTACAATTTTGAAACTATATGTAAAGCTATAAATTGAATAAATTCAAAAACAAAAATTGTTTATTCTTATTAATAAATTTATATTAATCAATATTTGAACAACCCGTAATTAAAATTGAATTCCTCTTAAAATTTAATCCATACGTTAATTTTTAATTTGCTAGGCGAATGCCGAGCTTCCCTACTTCTCTTGTCATTCCTTCAAAAACTCTAATCTCATCGCACTTACAAACATCATGATTTGATGTATTGTCGAGAAATCTTAGACTTGTTTGTCATTTGATTATAGCATTTGAAAGTCATCTCGAAAATCGATTAACAAGACAATTTCCCAAACATCTACATACAAGTAGATGATGGTAAACCCATTAGAGTTGTTTTGCTATGATTCCTCCAATCTTATGATGAGAAAAATCATATCAAAACAGCTCTAATCGAACATTCTACACAGCTTAGCATCCAGCTAGTTCCAAGTAATGCGATTACAACATCAACGGCCAAAGCCTTTCAGAGTCCTTTAATCATTTCTTCTCATCTCAATGTGAAGTGGCCCCAAACGAACTACAAGCTGACGTTACAACGCATTACAACCCGGTTAATACGAGCATATACATTAGAGCTGCTTTGTTATGATCTCCCTCATCAATTGATGAGAGATCTCATTATGAAGCAGCTCCAATCGAACTAAAAACCTACATACAAATGAGTGAAAAACTCATTAGAGTTGTGTTGCTTTGATTTCTCTCATCAGAAGATGAGAGATACCAGAACAAAACAACTCTAATCAAACTTTCTACACAACTCAGCACAGTATCAATGCAAAGTAATGCGTCTGTATCGTTAACAAGCAAAGTTGTTTCGGGTCCTTCCATTTTGGAAGAATTCGGAACAACTTTGCGAATTGATAGTGTAAACCCATATACATGAAAGCGTGCATGCATAAAGACCGGTATTGTCAGCAATGACTACCTGCCCAGCTATGAGTGATCAGAGAATTACCATCTCAGGCTTTTTGAGAACGTTTCAGCCAGGACCCTCGTATGTTGACTGTGAGAAAGGCATCCTTTATCTGAAATAGATGCTTTTCCAACAATCAAATTCGAAGATCTTCGACGTTGTTGTAAAAAGAGAAGGAGAAGGAAAGAAGAGGAAGGAGAGTAAGAAAGAAAGGAAAAGAAGAAGAAGAAAAAAGAAAAAAAAAGAAGGACATATTAAATATAATGCGCACTTAATAGTGCCGAGGCGGCGGAGCCGCCGAGGCGCGATTTTTTTGACCCTATATTACCGCACGGCAATGTTTTTCTCGATTTTATACAGCCCTACTTTAAATAGTTTCGAGTAGTGTTAAGACCAAATAATCAATTGAACAAATCATTTTTATCAATTTTGATGGGTTTTGAGAAAGAAATGTATCAGTATCAAATCCTTATTTGTAGGAAACTGTTTTTGAAATGTAAATATCATATTAAAAGCTTTGAACAAACCTTGATGGATGCACACAAATGAGCTATTGAATATCAGGTCATATTCATATAAACAGTTGATATGTCATTATCAGAACAATGTTAGAAATCAAAATTACCAGATTTCAAATTCAATATCTTCTGAAAATTATTATGTTCTAGGCCAATAATCTTGCATTAGTATTTGTTATGAATTTAAGGAATTATATCTTGATAATATGAACATTAATATTGGTCTTTTGAAATTTTGATTCAATATTGAATGTATTTGAATGCTCTTGATCATTTCAAATATCCATCATGATGTTATGAAGAATGTATTATGAGATATATGAATTCTGATGCTGTAAAAAATTATCAAATTTAATATATATTAATTTACATTAATTACATACAAAAAAATATATAAATATATAGGATTTCATTCTCTCTTGATGAAATCGAAGAATTTTGCCAAATAAGATGACATTAACTGACCGAACCACTCTTCTTTGATGCATTCTTTTTGAAGTTCCGTATACATCCTTCTCAACTCATTTTGTGCTCTCTCTTCTTCATAATTCTGTGGTTTGTATGCCAGTAATTCCTTTACGTGAGTTACAACATCTCCCAATTGGTCAATTGTTTGTTGAATTTCTTCAACTTTTGGTTTCTTTTGTGGTTTATGAGCTGTTATAACTGTTGGAGAACTTGTATTTGTTGGAGAAGAATCAGTAACTATGAAAGGATCATCATCACTCTTCTTTCTCTTTATGTTTTGTTTAATTGATGCTCTTAGTTTGTCGACTTCAATTGTTTCTACATTTTCTTGTTTCTCTTCTTTTTCAGATTGTTTTTGTCTGATGAAAGAAGCTCTGACGATTGAATCAACTTTACTTTCTTCAGAGCCAACAACGGAAGGACGTGGTGCATCGAATCCTGCAGCATTTACTCCATCTGTTGCATCCAATTCTTCGCCAATAACTGGTTGACCATTTGACATTGGCTGATCTTCAACTGGCTTGAAGAGATGAGACTTAGGAGCTGCAGAAAAGTTAAGCATTGAACCTGCTGTAACCATATCCCTTCTATTTGCTGGCATCGGTGTTTCTTCTTCAATCAAATCCATAATTGGTAAATCTTTTGTCAGTTTTTCTGTGATAGCATTGTGGATTTGGGAAGGAAGGCTCCATCTCATTATACAGCCAGATACACTAGATATCAAGATGTCATCCTCATGGAATGACACACCTGTTATCATGCCAGCCATTGAAAGGAAAACTGTTATGACATCTCCACTCATTATGTCCAAAATTCGAACACTTCCATCACTCATCGCAACTGCAACAAATAAGCCACTTCTATCAACACAAAGATGCAATGGATAAGCGGACATTGAGAGTTTGTATCTCCTGAAAACTGTACCATTGGAAACTCTAAGAATTACAACAGAATGGTCACAACCACCTGCGACGATAAATTTTTCATTTGGAACAGGATATAAAGTCAAACAAGGCTCATCTGGATGGTGTGTTGCGTACTTTTTGAGCTCCTTTGTCATGAATCTTACACCATCTGTACTGCAGCTGATTACTGAGTTGCCAGCAAATGAAATATCCATGATTGGAGTTGAATGAGCTGGAATCATCTCTATTCTGCTGAGAATAGTAAATGACGATTCAGTAGATATGTTATATAATCGAATTATGCCATCAGCGCCACCTGTTGCGAGTAATGGCATTTTTGGATGAACAGCCATTGAGAAAATTCCAGCTTTGTTCTCAATAAGGCGCTGTAATTCATTTAGGGATGATAGTTCTAGTACATGGAGTATGCCACTGTTGTCTCCAGCAAAAACATAATTTCCATAACTGGAAATGCAACGAACTCCACTCAATTGTGATAGGAAATCTGCTGCTTTGCTTGTAACAGAAGTAGTACATATCAATTCTTGTGAGCTTTTGCCAACAAGTCCGCTGTTTTTCTGAATTCTCCATTCTTTTACAGTTCCATCGCTTCCTCCTGAGATAACGATCGACTTATCGCCTGCGAGACAGAACTGGCAAACTGGTCCTATGTGGGAAGGAAGGCTGATGATGGGAGATGATGAGATTTTCCTTTGCCAACAAATTATTGATCCATCATCGTAAGCTGCTGATATCATTCTTTCAGCGATTCCTACTGCTGTAACTGATTTTCCATCTGCTGAAAATTGTCCAAATATGCGATGTTCGTCGCCATCTCTTTTGATCGCTAAAATGCTGCCGTTTGAGGTTCCAACAAGGATGATTTTTCTGTCTAGAGTGATGCATGTTGTTGGGCCGTTGTTCAAGTTAATCGGTGTTACTAAGACTGGTGGTAAAGTTCGTTGCGTAGAATTCGAAACTTTTTTACGAGGTTGAAAAGAAACGGATGTAGAGTCAATGATGCAGAGCGTTCCTACGTCTGTTAAACTGTAAATGTTATAAGGTGGACGTGCATTTACTGCTGATGAAACAAATGTCGAAGTTTTATACTTGCCAATATTAAAATTACGAGTTTTAAGAATGCATGGTGTTGACCCGTATGATATAGATGTATCAACGGCCTTTAAAAGTTTATCACCTGATACGATTGCGAAATTGCAGTCAGGTGAAAAAATAACATGTTGAGGTACAGTTGGCAAATGATAATAACCGATGCACGCTGGTCTAGGTTGAGTTAAATCCCATAATAGTAAAAATGGATTTTCATCATTTCCTACTGTGATTAATTTTCCTGCCTTTTGATTTAATGCAAGGAATGAGAAGCCATTTTCTTTAGTTTTGATTTCTTGTTTTGAAATAATTAGATCGAATTTATCATTAAACGTAAAAATGAATAATCTAGCGTTAGTTCCTAATTCTCCAACAACAATCGATGAGTCATTGACAGAAAAACATAATGCCGATATCTCTCTTCCGTCGTCTGCGATTTTGAAATCATAACGTTGCTTTTTTTGAGGAACAACAATGGATAAAAAGCCATGGGATGCAAAAGCAGTCGCACCTGTTTCATAATGGACTGATAATTTGCTTTTCGTAAGGCTAGAACATCCTATAATCTTATCTAATACAGGTTCTTCCATAAACAAAAGTTTGTTTTTTTATATTGATGTCAGTTTTCATTTTAGGATATATGAATTTGCTTTTGAGCACATGATGCTACACGATTATAGACTGTTTGACTAATGAGATACTTGATAGCATTGGAAATACCTCGAATGGATTCATAACATTACAAGCCTTCTAATTATTATACGAATTTTGTTATCTACATAGGATGTATATATACTGTATTACATATGTGTTTATTTCCAAAAGATAATGAATCACCAATAATGGCTATAATGAGATAATCGGGATTATATCTGTTTAAGATTTGAGCATTATAGAGTTATTTCGTTATAAATATGATAAAATTGAATGTGTAATATTCATTCGATTAGTTGAACAACAATAAAAATGTTTCTTTCATTAAAATAGAATAGATAAAGCAGCTATTTAGACCAATATTCTATTATATAAGTAAATTATCTTCATAATTCTGGCTATGAGAGTATGAAAAGCATTATAACTTTGTTATTCAAGAGAGAAAAAAAATTGCAATTATAAATATTTCTAAAAATTTATAGTGATCTGTATTCCGATGTTAAAAATTGAAATCTTTTTTCAATTAAAACCTTTAATTTTTGTCTTACACAATATATACTAATTAAATTTCATTGAAAGCCATTGATATTATAGCAAATTTATACTTATATTGTGTTTTTATACATGCGTGAAGCCTGTTAAAGATGCAATAAAAGTGTAATTATCATACTAATGATTCTAATACCGAACAGCATTTGAATCAAAAATAATCGTATGTTTGATAATTTTGTTTTTACAATTAAATTTCGTTGAAAGCGATTGGTAAAGTGAGAATTGTAAAACAAGGAATTCAAAATACACAACTTAACAAAATTTTTGAATTCACTAACATGCTTGCTCAATGCTTTTTATAAAAATTTTAAAAAGTGACAAAATTTTAATATTCTTGATGCCAGATGAATCTTTAAGTGTTTTCCATGATAAGCGAGAAATTCAAAATACACAACTGAACGAAATCATTGATTATCGCTTCGTAAAAGAACTTGAAAAGTTTGATCCAAAAATTAAAATTAAAAAGCCATTGCAGCAAGATCCTTTTCATGATCCTCTCCAAAAGCCAATCTTTGTTTTGATTAATGGTAAAACTGATAAAATAATTATAGCAAAAACCTATCAAACTGAATTTAATGCACCGGGAAATGATATTTTTGTATATGCAACTCTAACATTTACAAGGTTTAAACCTTCATCTCAAAAGGAATTAAAGAAAATTCTTCTTAAATCAAACGAGTTCAATTTCCATGTTATTATTAGCGATCCCAAATTCTCCAAAACGCCACTTGTTGATACAAGAGATTTTTTCAAAACTAGAGGCCATGTTATAATGGCAGTAAATGGTGGCATAGATTTCATTCCCAATATTAAATTAGTTGCAAAATTTTATTTTCTGAGTTATGATGATGATATCGACAATACAGTTCTTGTATATGACCGAAAAGAAGACAATAAACGTCAATATTTCTACTTAACATGGAATGGACGTAGCTTCAAAAAGGTGAATTGGTTCTTATATTCATATTTTCATCTTTATCCATGTTAAATCGGAGCAAAATAAGCTTGTCGGACTGTAATTTTTCTCCAGTCTCAGTAATTTTGCCATAGTTCTTGAATTTACATCGATACAAATTAATGATTTCTGAAAAAGTGACACTGCCTTCGAAAATAAAATAAAATTTTTCTGAACTTCATTGTTCAAAATCTCCACCAGCATTCCCTTCTATCAGGATTCAGCTTGCAATATCTTTTGTGTAATAACCTATTACAAGCTTATCTGGGCTCTATTGCTGCTCTTACTTTCTAATTTTTGAAGGAAATTAAATTTCATTAAATTTTTTGAAGTCTGGATATACAACATGATACATTTTGCATTATTTTGATGTGAATCTAAGTCTGTAAGATGCCTTTCATAATAAAGTTTATTGTCACTTTTTTGATTTTCTTCGTTATTTTTTCTCGCTCCAATGAGTTGGGCATTATCATCGGAGCGAGAATTCTGTTTATCATCAAATGCAACTCCTGCAGCCCTTGGACCTGGTGCATATAATTTACCGCCTTCTAGAGCTGATGTTAAGCCTGCAACTGCTCCTTTTGGCTCCCGAACTTATGATTTCGCTGATCCCCCTGTAGATACAAACCCAGCACCTGGACAATATGAATCTAAACCACTCGAACAAACAACCGGTACTAAATACGTCTTTTCATCAAAGAGCAAACGAACAATTTTTCCAAATAATTCATGCGCACCAGGACCTACAGCATATCAACAGCTAGATGATTGGATACCAAGTCCACCAAATCCAGGAAAGCACATTTCAAAGCCAGAATTCCGTCCTTTAACAGGTTTCGTTGGTCAAGATGTTGTTGGTTATAAAGAAACACCAGAAGGCAATCTCGTTGCTGTTAAAATGGTTAGAAAAGATAGTAGAGATATAGGTCCAGGAACATACGAGTCTAGAACACTTGATCAACCAACTCCTATTCTTCTTGACCGCCCTGCCGAAAGAAATCTTTACGCAAAGCCAAATGAAGTACCAGGACCTGGTTCTTATGTCAATATGCCATACGAAACAAAACTTTATCATAAAATTACCGATCGACCACCAGAAAAGCAACCAGAGTATGAATATCCCGTCTTTTTACCACCAGATGTTTGGACTGAGCAAGCTGAACTTACTCATTCCAGCTTTAAATCTCGATCATTACGAGGAGACCTTTTTCCTCCCGGGGACTCCGTTCCAGGTGTTGGAACATACAGTGATGCCTATATCAGGGATCTTGTTCACCAGCCAGTTTCTCGTGCGCAGACTTCATTTGGCTTCAGACAAGGAAGAAAAGATTTTTGGGAGCCAACAGAAGCTCCTGGACCAGGTACATATAATCCAAAGCAGCCTAGATGGATAAAGAAAGGCCAGAAACCAGGCAGGCATGCTCCAAACACCGAACCACAGCCAGATGAAACTCCTGGACCAGGTTCTTACAATATTCTCCAAAAAACGAACAAAACGAATCCAAACTGGATGTTTAAGACTGTTGCAAAGAGGGAACTGCAGAATATGGCAGGAGGAGATGCTCCAGGACCTGGAACTTATTCTCTTGCTGATGGAAATTCGAAGATTCCAATTGCATTAAACAAATCATCAAGGTTTAGTAACTGCCATAAATGGGAGTCTCCAAGTGATGCGGCACCTGTTGGTTCTTACACAATTCTTGATGAAAAACCAAAGGGAAGAACAATTTCAAGAATTGGACACAGACCACTTTACAATAAGTCAAAAGTACCAGGCCCTGCTTATTATGAAGTTACTCATAATTCATTCCTTAGGCATTCTTACAATACTTCTGTTCCAATTTAATAATTCAGCAGAAGATCTAATCTGAATATCTATTTATAATAAGATGAGTGGGAACTTCATTGTAGAAATAATGAATTACTTACTTTTCTATTTCTATTTTGATTTTATTTGCAATTTTTTGTTTGTATAAATAATATGTTTATATTTGTATCAATTGCGGTTTTACATAAGTTTTGTTGTTCACAGAAATCAAAATCCAATATTAAGGATGCAGACTTGGCAATTCTGAGGTCATTTTGGCAATTCTTAAAAAATTTCCGGCGAAATTGGCGTCCGAAGGGCGCCAATTTCGCCCAATAAGATACATATATCATAGTTATTAGTATTTGGTTTTAGGACCTATTTTTTTCTCCTTTTTCTTCATTTTATTTTTAATTATATTGTATTTTAATTTCTATGTGAAAAATAAATCACACTCTGTTCATTTTGATGAGAGTCCTCTGCTATATTTTGTGAGCGGTTAAAAAAATTATTTTAAAAAATTATTCGAAATATAATAACAGAAATGCATTATCTTATTGAGAATTGAATATTAGTTCAACAAATGTATCATATTCACAAAAGAACTCCACAAAACAGTTCAAATGATTAATATTATTCCAAAATAATCAAAAATTTACATAATAATTCATGTAAGAAGGCCACCTCAGATGTAAGAAAGAATTTAGTCTTAAATTCATGTTGATTAAACGAAACAATAAGTATAAATATATTGCATTTTTAATAAATGAGTCTGATTTGATTTTCCGTGTAGTTAAATATGTTTCAGTGTCATTGTTTCAGCTTTCTTGTAGCTTATGGTAATTGGGCAATTCTCAATAACGTACAATTGCCAAGAAAGTTTAAGGTTTGGCAATTCACTCAAATCACTGCGAAAAAAAAATAACGTACAATTGCCAAAACCAAAATTGCCTTGGCAATTGTACGTTATTTTAAAAAGAGTTTACATTGAGTATCTCTAGTTTCGCTATAACCTAATACACAACATCACAAAAAACATAAATCCTTCGGCAAAAATATCAAATGATTCAATTTCAAATATCAAATTTCTCAAAATCATCAATAATGCCACCATTTTATTTCAAAAATATATAGAAACTAAAATATAGCATTCTATTGCTTCTTTCAGACTTAAATAATGCAAAATTTACTATTTTTTTTTCAAAACTTCGCTCATCTAAGAATTGCCAAGCTTGGCAATTCGTGATGAACAAAATTTGCGCTTTTGGCAGTTCCGACATCCTTACTAATATATAATTTTAGTTTTTTTTTTACATATTCAAAATAAAATTATTCAAAATTATTTCAATTTAGAAGGAATTTTATATCCCATCTGTAAAAAAGTAATTTAGTGTTCTGGGGCTACATTAGTATTCTCTCAGCAATATTTGTTTAAATAAATATTGAATTTATTGAAAAGTATCATTTGCAAGCAGAAATCAGTAGCTATTATACAAGATATTATCAGTTCAAATAAATGTGCACAATTCAAGCTTCAATATAAAAAGATATTTTTGAAAAAAGTAAGTATATCATAAAATAACATAGTATTTAAAATATTTATCAAACAAACATCGAGATAATACTTACAAAAATCAATAAAATTGTTACTTTCAAATCAAATACTGATATCAAGGAAATTTTGATCTAAAAAGCTAATGATTTTGCTTTGTAATGAATCGGTAATATTCATAATTAGATTGGATGCAAATTCCAAAAAAAAAATCCGTAAAATAGCAAAAGGAAAATCAAGATACAAATATACCCTGGTCTTCGTCGTTTTCAAAAATAGCCGAATTTTTTCCTTGATTAAACAGTCCAAAGTTGTAGAAAAATTCTTCGTACGTCTTGAAGTTAGAGTTTTGAGGCTGACTTGTTGCAGGTATAGTGGAATTACTAGGGGCCGATCTAATGTCAATTGCGTGCATTATTGGTGAAGACGCATCACTTACATTTATTTTTTGTTTTTTGACAAGCCATTGCCATCTATTTCTAACAGCATTACCTGTCCTTCCAGGTAAATATTGTGCTATTATATTCCATTTCTTTCCATGTTCATTAAAAAGTCTAAGGATTTGCTGATCTTCATCATTAGAGAAGTCATTATGGCTAACTTTCGAGCTTAAATAATTTTGGTATCTTTCCCTACATTGTCGAGGGGAACGGGTTCTCATTAAGATGGAAATCTCTTTCCAGGTTAATTTTGGTACAGCTTTTTCAACAAAATATCTCAGTCTTTCATCTTCTTGAGGAGTAAACTTGCTTTTACTGCCAAGCATATTTGCTTTTGGAGACTCTCCAGACGGCAAAAGCCTATCCATTATATTGTAAAAAATTCAAATGAAATTGAATACCGTTAGAAATTGATTTTTAGAAATTATTGTGTATCAAAGTACTATAATACAAATACTATCAAAAAAAAAAAGGTAGTGGGGCAAAAAAAAAAAAAAAAAGGTAGTGGGGCCTCCAGGCACTTCGTGCCCTCTAGCCCTGAAGATGTTTAGTATAACTTTGTCCGGACAAGTAAGGGTCTATCGTCGCTACAGGAAAAGTTACAGGCGTTCCAAGGAAGTATACTTTGAGAAGCCTTTTCTGTCACTTTTCAGGAAAAAACATTTTTTATTATTATATAAATGAATTTTACAAAACCACCGTTACCTTCTTTGGAAATAAGAGTAGATGTAAAGATATTCTATTGAGAGAACTTAAGAAACTACCGAATGGTCTAACATTTGTAGATTTGTTCGGTGGAAGTTTCTATATATCCCATTTGTGCCATACAATATTTCCAGACTCAAAGATTATATGCAATGACTTCGACAACTATATGGACCGCCTCAAACATATACCAGACACTAACAAAATATTGAAAGAGTTAAAAGAAAAGATACCTATAGGCAAGATGGAACGTATACCATTAGATAACAAAAATATTGTGAGAGAGGTTTTGAAAAAAGCAGAATATATAGACTGGGATAGTATATCTGCTAGACTATTATATAGTGGTTCTATAAGAGTTCATGACATTGAAACACTTATGTCAAATGTTTTATATCTTAACTATACAAATGTTTTCAAAGAGGACATAGAAAAATATATTGAGGGTATAGAGTTTGTGAGATGTCGTTGGACAGAGTTGTATGAAAAATATAAAGACAAGGAAAATATTTTCTTTATAGTGGACCCGCGTTCTATAACACATGGGATTTTCAATACCAAGTAGACTGGACTTTGAGAGACTCTTTAGAAACTTTAGACGTTTTACATAACTGTCCATGCTTTTACTTTACATCCGATAAAAGTGGTTTGGAAACCGTTATGAGATGGTTAGAGGACATACATGCCTATGAGTTTAGATATGACAAGATAGAATATGAGAGAGGTCCTATAAACCGGAGAAAGTGTCATAACAAAGAAATTTTACTAGTAAGTAAATGTGGTTTGAAATAGGACTACTTGTTTTAGGTTTTTTCCATTGTGTCATTTACTTATTTGACGTGGCAGAAAGATATAGAGAATATGAAGATGAACCATTGCCTGCAAATGTTCAGCATATGTACTCGTAAGAGATATTTTTATCTAATATTAAATGGACGCACAGAACTTAGCGAATGCACAGCAACCTGGACAACCAAACCCAGAGAATATTCCAAATGAAGTTAGAATACAAACTGCAATGGCAAACTATGGTCAAGTGCCAACAGATGTACAAATGCAAACTGCCATGTCAAATGACGCTGCGTTAGGTTTGCCACCATGGTATGCAAATATGAGATGGAAAGAGTTTTATACAAACCCTGAAGTGGGATATAAACAACTCTATGCAGATGACGCGAACACAGGAGTTGACCCAGAATATGTTTTCTACCAGAGGAGAAATAGAATGTATGAGCTCCAGTTAAAAAATGCTATGGAACTCAGAAGGAAACGTAAGAGACTAGGCGGACATTAGATTTTTACATATAGTAAAATGGGTTTCTTCAGTAGTATTGGAAACTTCTTTCGAAATGTTGGAAGAGGTATATGGAATGGAATAAAAACCGTAGGAAGAGGAATTTGGAACGGAGTCAAAAATATTGGTAAAAGAGTAGGTCAGTTCGTTGGTATTATACCTAAAGACCCTGAACCAGAAGAACAAGCTCCTGTTATACAACAGCCTGAACCTGCACCACAGTCTAGTTGGCAACCAAATCCAACACCTCAACCGTATTAAAAAATTATATTTTTACCGTTCGATAGTAGTTGTATATGAAACTAAGTTCTAAGTAAAACGCATGGTATAATGGAATTATTCTCTTTCTTCCATCTGTTGTAAACCATACTTGAAAGTCTGAAATACTTCCACTCGGTGGTTCATATAGCTTTGTAGGTTTTTCGTAAAAGTCATTTGCCAAGCATAAAAAAGAGTTTTGTGCACCAGAAAATGAAGCATGAACTATAATAGCATCTGAGTCGAAAACATTTTCATATGTTCCATTAGGGTTTTCGACTTCATAAAAGTCCGGGTGTACTGGATATGCTGCAGGCTGATTTAACATCCTCAAAAATCTATACCATGCCAAGTTGTTATATTTTGTAGAAATATAAACGTTTTCTCCAAGGTCTTCTATTCTATTGATTTTTTAACAGTTGCATTTTTCCTGTCATATATAATATCGAGATGGTACTCTCCTTCGTCAATGTTATACTGCTTTGCATATTCGATATAGATATCGTTTATTTTTTCTTGAAAAGCTTGAAGAGTTGTTTCTAAGTTTACAAGCAAATTCACTTGTAAAAGTTTTCCCTGTTCAAATTTCTCATACATACGTTTTTCTTTGTTATAGTATCGAACTTCAAAACCGACCGTAAATGGGAAACCATGTATGGCTTCTGAATGAACTTCATTCTACGAAAGCCAATAGCTTTTGTGACGGATGGGTCTCTTAACCATCTTAACGGGTAGTCAAAACGATAGCCTTCATGCTTTACGGTCTCTGTCTCAAACTTTTGACCGACATTCGTAAAAAGTTCATCTAATGGTTTAGTTGTAGCAACTCTAGAATTTTCTTTTTCTATTGAAAGCATATTTTATCTATAATAAAAATGTCAAATGAAACAGCGTCTATGAGAGAAATACAACACAACCGACAACTCATTATACAAGCTCTAAATAAGAACACAACAAACTTTTCAAACTATTCTAAGATATCTGAGTCATTGAAAGAAGGAAACTTAAAACTGACATTAAACCCAATGACAGATGAGTTTCTGTTTCAAGACAAGAAGAACCATACTGTCTGTATAAATCCAACAAAAGGAACTTTAAACGAGAAACCTATAAATGAACTTCTTTTGAAAGCAGATGTTGGCAACAAAGCTGACAAAGAATATGTAGACGATGCAATAGCAAAAGAAGAAGAAAGAGCTAACAAAGCTTATGCAACAAAGAACATACTCATCCTGAACTAGCAGACAAAACATATGTTGACAATAAAATGTCAAGTGAAGTGACGAGAGCTGAAAACGAATATTCTAAAAAGACTCATACACATACCATTGCAAATATTACAAACTTACAAGAAACCTTAAACAGGAAAAGTGACGTTGGACATACACATTCTATATCTGAAATAACAGACTTAAACGTTAGCCTTGAAAAGAAAGCAGATAAGGAATGGGTGGCTAGTGTGTTAGTGAAGAAGGCGGATAAGGAATATGTGGATGAAAAGGATAACGAAATTATAGAAAGGGTTGACTGGTACCATGAACGGACATCGAAGATTTTAAAAACTAAAGCCGATACAGGATGGGTTTCAGGATGTTTAGACCTTAAAGCAGATAAAACTTATGTTAACGATGAGTTAGAGAAGAAAGCAAATAAGACTCATACACATACAAGTTTTACAACTTTTACAGCAGACGACATAATATTGAACTTTGACCTTGGTTCAAGTGCACCTTTAGAGAATCCAAGTACAAGCGTAAAAGATACACTAAAAATTTAGATAACAGTTGCAGGAACATTGAAAGTCATGCCAGAAACTTTGAAGCATATGAACTACCAGCAATGTTAGATAAGAAGGCTGACAAAACAGAGCTTCAAACATTAAAGACAGAAATACTTCAAACATTATATCCTATAGGCTCTATTTATACGTCAATGAACTCTACCAGACCAGAAGTAGTACTTGGTTTTGGAACTTGGACTCAAATAGTCGACAGGTTTTTGTATTGTGCAAACTCTTCAAAGGAAACAGGTGGAAGTAAAACGATTTCAGGTGAAAACTTACCTGCACACAGTCACTACATAGATTTAAGTACATCTCAAGCAGGTTGGCATAGTCATAGATATTGGAATTGGTCAGCAATGACAAAAGGTAAAGGATATGATGTTAAAGACAACGTTCAGTTTGCTATAAATTGTTTCTGGGGTAACACTCAGGGAGATGGAAACCATACACATCGCGTTTCAGGGTATACGCAAACAACAGGACAAAGTAAAGACTACATGCCACCTTACATGACAGTTTACGCATGGTATAGAAATGCTTAGTCGTCATTTTCAACTTCTTTAGCATATTCGTCAGGAGTTGTCTTATATTTGTTAGGAACTGTCTTTGAAAGTATACCACCTTGAACTTTGACAAGTTTTGAAACGAGGTCTGACAATAGTAGTTTTATCTTCTGCTTGCAGTGTGTACATTTTGCCATGTTTGCCTAAAATTCATAAATATTCTCTTGTATACTTTCTTCTATTTTTACGAACACGAACGTGAGTACCTGTCGGGTTGCCATTGTTTGTCATAGTCAATAGTATTTTCATATGGGTCGCGTTTAGGTATTTCTATTTTTACTTTGTCACCTTTCTGAAGTTTGAAGCCCGGCATTCTTTCTTGTTTGTCTCTTTTGACTAAATTATTAAATATATAGTCTTTCTCTAAGTCAGGGTTGTTTTTCATTTCTTCGGGGGAGTGGTTTCCCAAACCTTTTTTGTTTACGGCTATTGTAAATATTTAAAACTTGTCTCATCTTTGCCATGGAGAAGTGTCTATACTTGTCGTCATATGACATTTCATTTGCTTCACCACCTTGTGGTTGGTTTAAGTCTCTTAACATTTTTATACAACCGTCAATGACACCAAGAGCAGAATGGTTTTGGTCGACAATGAAATATTGGTTTACATTTTTTGAACGCAGATAGTTTTTTACATCGTCTGATTTGAAAGAACTTTCACAGTCAGATGTCAGTTTTGTTGGATGGTATTTGTCAACGAATATTGTCAAAGCTGCTAAGATATCTAAAATATTTTTGGACTGTAATGGTATGGCTTCACAGTAT